TTCATGTATATATGTTTTATGTGTCCAACTCATTAATCTTTCAAGTACACAAGTTCACTTGGAAGGTCAAACAGCTAAAGATCATGTAGACTAGCATTGGCTTAACAACCCTATAAAACTTTTAAGAATACGGTAAATTCCATTAAAATATAAGCAAACAACACACTAGTCCCCCTTTTGACATCATAAAGAGGGGGAAAAAAGAAAAATACTAAACATAATAAAGTATAGAAAGGAAGATCAGTTAAAACTAAAAATAAAATCATTAGCTAACTAGAAAAAAGAACCCTTATTAGGTGGTGGTGGTGGTGGTTGAAAGTATCAGTGAAGAAAGACAAACTACTCGCTAAACCATGTCATATTCTTATTATGTTGCAACTATTGCTAGGCTACATATGCATCAAAGTGAGATAATTTTTGGGCATGTTGCTGCACCTATGCAGCTATGTAGGAGTGAAACCTAGCCTTCCATTGATCAAACCTTTGAACCAATTGATTAATAGGGGACTACTTGCAGATAGGACCTAGTGCTTAAGATTGTTCTTCCGATTCCTCTTCTAAGTGGTCACCATAATGAATGTTGAGGCGACAAGCACTATAAGGGATATGGAAGGAGCTATTAAAATAGAAACGAGAAAGTGATTAGGTGGTGTAGGATATTGAAGGTTGTATTTTAACTCTAGGATAAAAGGAAATAAGATGTCCTAAAGCTAGATTGGCTAATCTCTTTTGGCAGTGATCTTGAATGACAGTTAGATTTTCATGGTAGCGAATAAGAAGGCCAACTGCAATAAAGTTAATTTTAACCATTATGAAATAAGTTGTAAGGGACAACATAAGGATAATGTTTATCCAATCATTAGCTTTTGGCTCAAGAGTGCTTTCCTCCAACCATTATAATAGTATGAATTCAAGAGGGAAAAAGAAAGACTTAAATGATGTGAGGAATAAGAAGAAAACCAGTTGTTTATATAGAAATTACCATATCATGTGGTACAATCGGGATATCATCTTAGGGATGTGATATGCCTAGGATACTAGATTTCTAAGTCTTGGTTCCCTAAGAAATATCAAAGGATTCCCTTAATAGTAGTTAAGTGAAACTCTTTTGGATCAGCATGAAATCAAGCATATAGATAAACACTAAACATAATATCAGGTTTTTAGCAGTCAAGTAAAGGGGTGATCTAAAAAATACAATAGAGAATTGAAGTCTAGTGAGAGAAAGTCTGGGATATTAAAAAAAATTCAATTGTTTTTTTTTTTCAAATTCATCTTGTTCCATTGATTTTACAGTTATTTTGAAAGGTCGTTATTCACTGTCTCGCCGGCGGATGTAGCTGATGGCAATAGAGGGGAGGCACCTGGCTACATCTAAGGCCTGGGCAAATATTCGAAGAGGGCTTAACATTCCTGTGCGAGCAACTTCGGAAGTTTTTAATGGAGGTCAGAGGGCTGCATCGATTCTCAGTGGTCAGTTCAAGGAGAAACCTTTGTTCATCAAGGAAGGAGGACTACTGAATAACAAAACTGCACTGGTGGTTATTGGAAAAGGCAAGGAGGTAATCAGGGAAGAGGAATTCATAAGCCTAAAGAATTTAAAAATAGCATATGGCTTTAAGGATGTGATGGAGAATTTGAATGTGGAAGCGTCTACGTCGGCTGGAAGGAAGATTTATTCTAATAAATGCTTCAAATTGTTATCTCTCCCATCTTCACCAATTCTATGTTAAAATGTTGGGTCCTTTCTAGCTAAAGATGGAAGGACTGTCTTGCTTCATGCAGAGAATGAAAGTAGCAATGCTAAGAAATTGGATTGTGCTCTTGTGGTGAAAGTATTTGGAGATAACATACTATTTTCAGTAGTATGTATTGAAGTAAGGAAGCAATGGAGTATATTTGGGAAGTTTCACATAATTGGTTTGGGCAAAGGTTGGGTGCTATGTTCGTTTGAAAATTCATTAGCTATGGAACAATTTTGATAGGAGGACCATGGTATATTAAGGGACATGCGGTGGGGCTAGAAAATTGGTCTCCTTCATTTCTCCAACTTCTATGAATGGGATTTCAGCTCCCTTATTGATAAGATTACCAAACATACCTTTGCAATGTTTGGATGATATTAACATTTGCAGGATTGCATCTCAGGTGGGTAAGCCTTACTTGCTTGATGGGAACATGTTTCAATGGGGTAGAAGAGAATACGCTCGAGTTTGCGTTTGAGTTCCCTGGAATGAGAAATTACTCTTTCGAATATGGGTGGAATGATTATCTGGAAAATGTTTCCAGAAAATTGAATATGAGGGCATTTCAAAATTAAGTTATGAATGTGGCATAATTGGTCATACTTTATCAGAATGTAAGGGCTCTAAGAAGCAGAATGAAAAATGCTATGAAGTTCCTGATTCAGTCAGGAATGTTAAGGAACAAACAAACTTAATTGAAGTTGATTGTTCAAGTCAATAATGTGAAGAGGGCTTAACATTACTGGGTGAATATTCGAAGAGGGCTTAACATTCCTGTGCGAGCATCTTCGAAAGTTTTTAATGGAGGTCAGAGGGCTGCATCGATTATCAGTGGTCAGTTCAAGGAGAAACCTCTGTTGATCAAGGAAGGAGGACTGCTGAATAACAAAACTGCACTGGTGGTTATTGGAAAAGGGAAGGAGGTAATCAGGGAAGAGGAATTCATAAGCCTAAAGAATTTAAAAATAGCATATGGATTTAAGGATGTGATGGAGAATTTGAATGTGGAAGAGTTTACGTTAGCTGGAAGGAAGATTTATTCTAATAAATGCTTCAAATTGGTATCTCTCCCACTTCACCAATTCTATGTAAAAATGTTGGGTCCTTTCTAGCTAAAGATAGAAGGACTGTCTTTCTTCATGCAGAGAATGAAAGTAGCAATGCTAAGAAATTGGATTGTGCTCTTGTGGTAAAAGTATTTGGAGATAACATACTATTTTCAGTAGTATGTATTGAAGTAAGGAAGCAATGGAGTAGATTTGGGAAGTTTCACATAATTGGTTAGGGAAAATGTTGGGTGCTATGTTCGTTTGAAAATTCATTAGCTACGGAACAATTTTGATAGGAGGACCATGGTATATTAAGGGACATGTGGTGGGGCTAGAAAAATGATCTCCTTCATTTCTCCAACTTCTATGAATGGGATTTCAGCTCCCTTATTGATAAGATTACCAAACATTCCTTTGCAATGTTGGGATGATATCAACATTTACAGGATTGCATCTCAGGTGGGTAAGCCTTACTTGCTTGATGGGAACATGTTTCAATGGGGTAGAAGAGAATACGCTCGAGTTTGAATTCAAGTTCCCTGGAATGAGAAATTTCCCTTTGGGGTATGGGTGGAAGGACTATCTGGAAAATTTTTCCAGAAAATTGAATATGAGGGCATTTCAAAATTATGTTACGAATGTGACATAATTGGTCATACTTTATCAGAATGTAAGGTCTCTAAGAAGAAGGATGAAAAATGCTATGAAGTTCCTAATTCAGTCAGGAATGAAAAGGAACAAACAAACTTAATTGAAGTAGACTATTCAAGTCAATAATGTGAAGAGGGCTTAACATTCCTGGGCGAATATTCGAAGAGGTCTTAACATTCCTATGCGAGTATCTTCGAAAGTTTTTAATGGAGGTCAGAGGGCTGCATCGATTCTCAGTGGTCAGTTCAAGGAGAAACCTCTGTTGATCAAGAAAGGAGGACTACTGAATAACAAAACTGCACTGGTGGTTATTGGAAAAGCCAAGGAGGTAATCAGGGAAGAGGAATTCATATGCCCAAATAATTTAAATATAGCATCTGGCTTTAGGGATGTGATGGAGAATTTGAATGTGCAAGCGTCTATGTCGGCTGGAAGGAATATTTATTCTAATAAATTCTTCAAATTTTTATCTCTCCCATCTTAACTAATTCTATGTAAATATGTTGGGTCCTTTCTAGCTGAAGATGGAAGGACTGTCTTGCTTCATGCAGAGAATGAAAGTAGCAATGCTAAGAAATTGGATTATGCTCTTGTGGTGAAAGTATTTGAAGATAACATACTATTTTCAGTAGTATGTATTGAACTAAGGAAGCAGTGGAGTAGATTATGGAAGTTTCACATAACTAGTTTGGGCAAAGGTTGGGTGCTATGTTCGTTTGAAAATTCATTAGCTATGGAACAATTTTGATAGAAGGACCATGGTATATTAAGGGACATGTGGTGGGGCTAGAAAAATGGTCTCATTCATTTCTCCAACTTCTATGAATGGGATTTCAGCTCCCTTATTTATAATATTACCAAACATACCTTTGTAATGTCGGGATGATATCAACATTTGCAGGATTGCATCTCAGGTGGGTAAGCCTTACTTGCTTGATGGGAACATGTTTCAATGGGGTAGAAGAGAATACGCTCGAGTTTGTGTTCGAGTTCCCTGGAATGAGATATTACCCTTTGGGGTATGGGTGGAAGGATTATCTGGAAAAATTTTCCAGAAAATTGAATATGAGGGAATTTCAAAATTATGTTACGAATGTGGCATAATTGGTCATACTTTATCAGAATGTAAGGGCTCTAAGAAGAAGGATGAAAAATGCTATGAAGTTCCTGATTTGGTCAGGAATGTTAAGGAACAAACAAACTTAATTGAAGCAGACTGTTCATGTCAATAATGTGAAGAAAGTAGCTATGGGCCGTGGCTTCAAGTAAATTATGGAAGGAAGGGAAAAAGATATGGAGCTGCTGGATGGTATATGCAATCTACAAAAAGAGTTTTTGTTCCCAAATAGAACTTAAAATGGAGAAAGAGCAAGCTCTTTCAGATAAAGTCCTGAAGCCTGCTCAGGAAGAATCATAGCATGGAGAAAAGGATTGGGTACAACAGGAAGATGTCTTGGGCAGTGCAGAAATTACAGAAATAGAAACTGAAAAGGTGTAGGTATCAGTTTCCAAGTCTGATGTTCTTACACTGAATAAATTTGGAATTTTATCAGTTATGGAAGATAATATTTTGAATGAGTATGTGGAGGAGAAGGGTTTTAATGAAGTTGAAGAAGGTGAAATACTTACTGATCTGGAGCCAGCTGTAATAGAAGTAACTTTGAAAGGAAATCAGGAGCTGATGTTGAGATCTGAAGGGCCTAGCAAGAACATTTCCCAGGAAGTTAAAGCAGTGGATAACTCTTCTTTAGGAAAGAAAGGAAAATTGCTTAAAGAACTGAAATCATATGGGTCAGGTAACATTGTCACTCATAATAGGAAGTTGGATGTTGGTAGAAGTAAAAAGGGTGGGGGTCCATCTCCTTTATTTAAACAATGACATCATTATCTTTTTGGAATTGTAGAGGGGCCAAAAAGAGAGAGGCTGCTCTATATCTCAAGGAGTTTGTAAGGGATAATGATGTTTTATTTGTGGGACTTGTTGAAACCAAAGTAAGCTCGTTGGAGAATCTACAGATTTTGGGTTTTTTGGGAGATAAATGGGAATCATTTATGGTTCCATCTGATGGCCTTTCAGGAGGCATTTTGCTTCTTTGGAGGAAGGATTTGGCATCATTTTTAGTGTTGGAAGTTTCTTCACAAGTCATCATTGGAAATCAGGAAGTAGTAAATAAAGGATGCTGGCTTGTATCCACAGTATATGGTAGTAGGAATATGCTGGATAGGAAGTCTCTATGGGAAAATTTGGAGAAGGTTTATGCTGATAATAAACCAGTAGTTATTGGTGGAGACTTTGACTTCATTTTGTCACAGGAGGAGAAGAGAGGAGGCAAGATATTTGTATTCTCTCAAGGTGCCAAAGATATGAAGATGTTTATGAGCAACAATGACTTTCATGAAGTTGGGTTTATTGGACCCAAATTTACTTGGTGCAACAACAAATCCAGAGGAGGACGCATCTTAGAAAGATTGGATAGATGTATTATAAACTCTATTGCAATGAACTCCATTCATCTAGCCTTGGTGAAGCATTTGTCACGTATTGCATCAGACCACTGCCCAATCATTTTGGAGGTGTTGAAACCTGTGGAGTCTCACTACAGAGGTATGCATTTTGAGGATGTGTGGGCAACTTATCATGGGGCTTTTGATATTATGGAAAAAAACATGGAAAAAGTGTGGGGGGAGTGATCCATCCACTTCCTTGAACTTGAAGCTTAAAAGAACTTTAAAGTCCTTATTTTACTGGAGCAAGGCTAAGTTTAAAAGTTTAAATGTGCTGAGAGATTCCTTGAAGAATGAAATATATGATCTACAATTAGAAGAGGCTGAGGGGCTACTAAATGCGGCAAAGTTGTTGTTGCTTCAGTCAAAGGTAAATGAGTTGAATTGTACTTTGGCTAGACTTAATATTTGGTGGAAACAAAGAGCTAAGGCTAGGTAGTTGGAGGAAGGTGATTCAAATTCAGCTTTCTTTCACTCATTTGCAAATGCTAGAAGAAGCTCAAATGGGATTAAACACATAAAAAATGAAGATGGCGTCTTGACTGACAAGCTCTCAGAGGTGGAGAGTATTTTTTCAAATTTTTTCAAATCAAAGTGGAGGCACAGAGATTGTGTTGTGGAAGGCTGGCCGAAACCGTTTGCTATCTTGGAGGTAGTTGATCAACTCAAATTGGATGCAGAATTTACTAAGGAGGAACTTCAGTTGTGGTGGACAACTTGGGAAAGAATATCTCACCGGGCCTAGATGGGATAAACTTCTCGTTTATTAAATGCTTATGGAAGGTAATTTAACAGGATGTTTGTAATGCTATTGAAAGGTTTCTCAAAATAGGAATTATGCATCACAATTGGAAGGAGACATTGATAGTGTTAATTCCTAAAATGCAAAGTCCAATGTATCCATCAAACTTTCATCCAATTAGCCTATACATCACTCATAAGTTAGTAGACAAAAATTTGCTAAACAGATTGGAGCCAATAATTCACAAGGTTATTTTAAGTGATCAAGTGGCTTTCTTAAAAGTTAGATCATTGTCGGATCATGTTCTCTTGGCTCAAGAGGTTTTTAACAAAATCTAACACTCGAAAGCAAACAATGGGTTTTTAGCCATCAATGTTGATATGGAGTAGGCATACGATAGTATGGGTTGGTAGGCTTTGAGGCAAGTTCTTCTCCACTTTAAATTCCCTAGCAATTTTTTGGGTTTGATTCTGAGTTGTATTTTGGATCCAAAATTTTGCATTTTGATCAACGGGAACAAATCGAAATGGATTGAATCTAGAGGTGGGTTTAGACAAGAGTGCCCCCTATCACCTTTTCTTTTTATATTGTGCTAACAAATCCTATCTGATGCTTTTTATCAAATTGCAAGGAAGATGGGTATTCAAATTGTTTGAGGCATTGTATGATTTGAAATAATGCATATGTAGAGAGGTTAGACCAAATTTTATGAGTTGACTTGGTTGACTTGACCATAGCTTGACCCATGGTAAACTTAGAAATATTCAAGATATCTAATAGGGTGGATTTGAGGGTTTAAGATATTGATTTGATTATATGGGTTATGTTGACCCATTTGAATTGTTAAAGAGCCATTGGGTCAACCTAGGTTCACTTGGTCAACCAGGTTGACCCAGGGGCGTAGTTCAAGCATAATAGACTTAAAATGTTGTTTTGAATCTATTGAAGGTGACCCAAAGATCTAGGAAGGTCATTTGGGTCAAAATGACCTATTAGGCCATTAAAGGGCATTTAGGACAACTCTTGTTGATTTGGTCAAACAGGTTGACCCAAGGTCTTGTATTAGGCTCAAAAGATTTGAAAAAACCTTTAGAGACTAGTGGAGGGGTTCCAAGGTCTAGAGAGAACATTTAAATCAAATTGACTATTTAGACCCCAAAAAGCCCATTTGGTTAGCTTAAGTTGACTTAGTCAACCAAGTTAACCCATAGCTTGGGTTTGGGTCCAACAAGTTTGGTTTAATATTTTAAATCTACTAGAAGTGGTCTCACGTAAAGAGGATGCCATTAGGCTTTAAATGAATATTCAAACCCTTAAGTAGTATTTTAGTCAAAACTGGTTGGCCTAGTCAACCAACCTTGACTAGGGTCTAGGTTTTAGTCCAATGTACTCCTAATGGTGATTAGGATGCATTGGAATGTGTTTTAAGGTTTTCTTGGAATAGACCAAGTTAAAATTTAAATAAAACTCCAAAATTGCCCTTAAGGGGCATTTTGGTTATTTTGACCCCTGGTCAACTGTGGCTTAAAGTGGGTTCACTAAAATGTAGTTTACTATTTGACATATCTTGATCAAGGGTCTACGGTGGTTAGAGGCTTTGGAGAAGGCTCTAAGGTCTAGTTGCACGAGGTGACAAGTCTAGTAGCATAGGCCATAAATATTTGAAGGTTTATCTACCTTTAGATTCCAATTCAATTTTTGAGGTTAGAGCCCTCAAATTAAGCTCAAATTTGGAGGGTAGACCCTACGGACATGCCTAATAAAAATTTCATTGATAAATCATGATTCGACATCATTTAACTGGGTTTTAAAGTGTTTTAAAAATCACTAGAAAAAGCTTTCAATATAGGGCTTTGAACATTGGATTTTAGATCTGGAAATCTAGATTTGATTTGAGTTTTGGATTTAAATGCTAGAAATTGAATTATCTAAATAATTTATAATCATTTGAATAATCATAAATGATTGGATAGGATTAATACTAGATTGGAGGTTAGATCAAAGTTTAACTTGAGATTGAGATCTAGATAGGTTTGAAACATGGATATGTTTGAAATTTGAATTGATTTGAGGTTTGGATTAACTTGAATCTAGATTGATCTAAGATCTGGATGAAATATCATATAGGTTATTAAACCTAAAACAATTTTCTTGGTAATTTAAAAAACTTCTTGGTATATTAAAAAATTGTTCTTATAATTTTAAGTACATTAAAAGTTTTATCAACCTAAACTTTTTAACCACAAAAATAAAAATGCAAAAAATTAAAAATACAAGAAATAAAAATAAAAGAAAACAAAAATTTAGTGATTTGGTCTAACTAGGCCTGCGTCCTCTCCCTGAAGAATCCCTCTTCAGGTATTGCACTATTACCAAAGTGACTCTCCTTTTGCTCCCACAGCAAGAAGGAGAAGCATTTATAATTAATTTCTCTTCCACCAATCCCCAGTGCGGTAGAGTACCATCATCCTTTCACACCCTCTAAGTTTTAGTAGAGAACTATCATTTTTTCACACCCTCATAGTGTTGGAACAGAACTGTCATCCTTTCATACCCTCCTAGTATCGGTAGAGAACCGTCGTCCTTTCACACCCTCCTAGTGTTGGTAGAGAACCATCATCATTTCACACCTTCTTGGTGTTGGTATAGAATTGGATTTTCTCCATTGATCTTCTCTCAATCAACTTTAAAGAAATAAGGAAGAGATTTGACACACTTACGAAGAGATTCTCACATTTTAGCAACCTTGTGAACCCTTAACAAGTTTCACTTGCAATATCTCTTTCCATACTCTCAACACAATCTCCCAAAGTACGCTAACACTTGCTCTCAAAGAAAATACAAAGAATCATTTGTCTAGAGTTTTTAGGATCTTATATATGAAAGACATGAAAAATCATCTAGAAAATTAAAAATTTTAATTTGACCGCCCTTGATTGTATAGTATGATCATATATCGTACGTATGAACAGTACAAAATTTTTTCGTACGAACCTATACGAATTGATTTCATGCTCTGATTGACCTATGTATGAATTGATATTGTACAGTTTAATCAATTCAAAATTGAACAGATTTGTCATGTATGATTCTGTACAAACCTACTTCATACACCAGAAGTTGCATGTACGAACTCAACATCATACAGTACAATCTTTTTTAATAAAATCATGCTTTGTTTGAAATGAAAATGGATGAAAAGTCCATATAGGTTGTTAGACATATAGAAATTATCCCAAGACTAACCAAGAGAGGGGTGAATTGGTAATTAAAATTTTCCTCTTAAATAAAAAACATTTTTAAATTATTTTTCATAATACTTAATTTTTTAACAAAATAAAACTTTCCAACCACTTAAATAAAAATGTGTAGAAAAATAAAAATTTAAAAATATAAAGAACACATAAATTTATAGTGGTTCAATCCAACTAGACCTTAATCCACTCCTTGAAGAATCCCTCTTCAATTATTGCACTATTACCAAAGTGACTCTCATTTTCTCCCACAGCAAGGTTGATAAGCCTTTACAATTAGCCTCTCTTCAACCAATCCTCAGTGCAGCAGAGTACCATCATCATTTCACACCCTCTAACTGTTGGTAGAGTACTGTCATCCTTTCACACCCTCCAAGTGTTGGCAGAGTACCATTGTCCTTTCACACCCTCCAAGTTTTAGTAGAGAACCATCATCCTCTCACACCCTCCTAGTGTCTGCAAAGAACTGTCATCCTTTCATACGCTCTAGGTGTTGGAAGAGAACCATCATCCTTTCACACCATCCAAGTGTTGGTAGAGAATCGGCGTCCTTTCACACTCTCCAAGTATCGGTATAGAATTGGATCTTCTCCAAAGATCTTCTTTCGAACAAACTGAAAGAAGTATGGAAGAGAATTGACAACACAAAAAGATATTCTTACCTTTGAGTAATCTTATGATCTCTTCACACTTTCCACATACAATAACTATCTCATAAACACTCTCCCAAAACTTATTTTCACTTATTCTCAAAGAAAACATGAAGACAAGATAGGACAAATCAGTTTCTAAGGACTTTATATAGGTAAGAGACAAAAAACATCCGAAAAATTAAAAATTTCAATTTTAACCATTCATGATCATACAGTATGATCAACAATCATACATACAAATAGTTCAAAATTTGCTCATACAATCATGTACGAACCATTTTTATACATGTTGATCCTATAGTTCGAACTACATATTGTATTGTATGAACCATTCAAAAAAAAATTCTAGTTCATTTCGATGAATAGATACCCCACAATTTCATACTCTGGATGTCTTATGTATGAATATGTAATCGTACAATACGAACAATTTAGAAAATTTTGGTATTTGTCGGGACGAAAGAGACCCAATCTTTGCATAACTTGAAATGAGAAGTTTCAATAGATAAACCAAAAGAATTGATCTAGAAAATGATT